TATTTCAATACCTATAATCTTTCAATAAAAGTAACTTCGTCCACGGTGTTCGACGTCGTCGTCTTCGTCGTCACAGTCGTCGACTGTTGTTACAGTAGTGGTCTTCACTTCTTTACCTACTACAAAGTCCAAACACTTAGATTACCACTATAGAAGTGAGACCGACTGACTCATTCTTCACTTTTCTCACTACATGCAATTAGAATATCGATCAATTTGTACCTCATAGTGTGATCATATGGGAATATACAATCACACATATGTCTTGTACTGATTTTGTAATAGGATTCTACATTGCAATTGGGAAGTATGGAGTATGGTGGTATATGATAAGGTTAAAAATAAAACAAAAGCACGCACCTTAATATGGCCGAGAGCAAATGTGTATTGTTGCCTTTGGTATCGTTGCCTTGACTGTCCGTTGTCTTGACTGTTGTTTGCAGTCTTTGCATTGAGAATGTGAGAAATGCAGTTTTTGTTTCTACCACCCACTCTTATCTAGAAATTTTGCTATTCGTTACGCGGTCTTAGTTCACTGCTGATAGGTGAGGAAATTTTTGAGGATCCGTGTAAGGCAAAGTGTCTTTATTCATTTGCTGACATAAACTCACTCAATTCGTAATCAAACGAGTTATTTTTTCCCACAATTTATTATTCACAAGAGGTCACGGAAAACAGGTGAAAATTTCCCTGGATAGTACGTTTTCATGAAAACATGCAGAAAATATGTACTATTACACAAGGGCCACAAGGTCCCTAGAGTGTGGTTCACAGTCTTTTTGTGTTGGAGAGAGAAAAGGAGGTATGGTTTAGAGATTTTTGCCCCGACGTTGCTAGACTATTGTCTGACTAGGTCTAAACTTAATAAAAAGGATGCGGTGTCTTCACCACGAGGCGAATCACCAGTTAAGAGTTGATAGTCCCCTTTACACCCCAACCCCGGTGCCGGCCGGTAACGGCGAACTTTCGCCGAGACCTCTGCCGACATCAATGTATACGGTCCCTGACATTACCGCCGACTTCTTCTAAGAGGCGTACCAACCGGTACCACTAGAAGACAAATAAGGAGGCGACACCAGAAAAGAGGGAGAGGCCCCGTTCGCAAACGGGACATTAAGTTGACGTTAGGGAGGGGCAGCTACGTCTCGTGACATTAATAGAAGGGCCATTAGTGGTCGGTTACTGTTTGTGGTGGAGAGGCGGAGGAAAGGTCCTTGCTCCCTCGGCGGCCGTCTCAAAGTTAAAAAAGCGGCCAGTTGTAACAGACAATTCAAAAATTTAGAAGGTCTGTTTTAATCTCTTTTCACGGTCAGTTTCCAGAGAAACATAAATAACTCGGAGTTTTCGTTTACTTATTACTGAGATATTTAGTATATTCTTATTTGTCGCCTCTGCTGTCTAGGAAAAGAGGGGGAGAAGAGGGGCGGGGTCGGGATGTCTTGACTAGGGAGTTTCCGTGCAAGGGCTAGGAGGACGTCCGCACAGGTCGACGTCGAGTGTCTTAAGGTCGGGGGACAGTTTTCTCCCGATCTTTCTCGTATCTTGATTTCGTCCGTCCGATTTTACGTCCTAGAAAACCATAAAACTTTTTTTTGCTATAGATACATGAAAATATATCCATCCCGTGATGTTATAACAAGTTGTTATATCGTACTATACAGGGGAAATTTCATAATAATTCCTCCCAAATTACGAAAATGAGTTTTCACGTGGGTCTAACTACGAAATTGAAAGGTTATAAATTTTGTTATTGAAAGGCCCCCTCGTTACGGGGCCTTTGGGGGATTCTCCGCTGCTGTGGGGGATTTCCTAACACCAGGGGGTGGGGTGACATTTTTTTTTATCGTGAAATGGGGACGTGGGGGCTGGGGGGGGGGTTGTTGAGGACCCGATTCGTCGGCCTAGAGATGACATGTTAGGATTTTAGGCGGTGAGCGAGGGATGTCCTCACATTGAAACTCCCAAACTGAGACGTTGGCAAAATGTACCGTATTTTTGGAAGTATTTTGTGTGGTTCCCATGCATTGATTGGCCTTTCCGTACTGTACCCTGCGAAATTTTGAGAAGGACTTCACGTCACTTTTTGTTGTTTAATGAAAACTCTTTAACTTCTGCACGGCGTAACCGTACGACTACAAGAGTTACGCATTTTTCTTTTTGATTATTCCCAGTCGAGGTCCAGTCTTCATCGAATCACTGCCCTCCCACCAGTATACCCAACTAGTGATAGTAGAATAAGTGAGAACGACACGTTCTGTTACAGCCTTTGGTTTGTACCGTTAATTAACCCTCTGTCCTAATACCTCAACAGTTTTTCTCCACTAGAATAATTCCTCCCTAAAAAGAATTATTGGTCATCGAGCGTTTGAACTTACTATTACCGTTGGGTCCGAACGGTTTACTTATGGACCGTGTTCCCATTCACGAATTTATATTATGATATTTTTACCTTACGTTAAATCCTTTTAGCGTTCAAATTGTCATACACACACAGACCACACAAGTCGAAATATGAGAATAATCATTATCAACGCTTATCGAAAATTAGAATCAAAAGTCCACCGTACCGGTCCCTTAACTTTACGGGTCTCGCCCCACTAAAAGTGACACCTTCGTCTAATTATCTCTTTCGCTTAAGAGGACCTCAATCGGGACCCATATCGACAAGTTTAACCGCACCTCACTTTTGGGACATGTGCATCGCGTCTGTCGACATTTACCTCTGCTGAGTTTCCGACCGTCTTCAGTGTAGGTCCGAGAGATCCGTAAAGTAGAAGACTCACTCACTTCCGTATTTGTGCGTATGATTCGTGATA